ATTCCCCGGGTGCTCTACGTCATTCACACTGGAACGATTGTCACTGTTGTAATCGATAAGCTTCGCTGAGCGTGATGCGATCAATCGTGCGAATCTGCACCGTGAAATGCTTTATTCCCTTAATTGATAACATTTTTCCTGGACATTTTCTTTGATGTATTTGAGGATAATATTAGAATTACTCATTCAAAAAATTTCACATTTTTAGGAATTATTTATCCACAGGATAAGGGAAAGATAAAGGAGTTATTGTCCGGGGAAAAAAATGTAATCGAAATATTTTTTCCAAATTTTCAAAAAATTTCGGGAAAAAAATCGGAATGCAGAACTATTTTATTTTTCGGAAAAGTTTTGAAAAATTTTTCAAAAATTTGAAAAGGAAATTTTTTTTTTATAATTTCGATGGCGTTTTTTTGAGAATATTGAAAAATGAAAAAAGTAAGAAAACAACAGTATAATTAAAAGGAAAAATTATATTCACAAAAATTTTGAGAAAATTATAAAAAAAAATTTCCGAAACAAATTTTTGAATAATTTTTCAAAACATTTCCCAAAAATACAATTGTTTTATTTTCCCATTTTTTTTTGTTTCAGAAGAAAAATTTTTTGAAAAAGCGGAAAAAATATTCCGATTACAATTTTTTTTACCCGGGTGCCGATATCTGTCAATCTTTCTTACTTTCCCAGGCAATTTGTCCCAAAAATCCCAAAACGTTGCCAAAAACTCATAAAAATAAACACACGACTAGAAAAATTTGTGAGTGTCCTATAAATTCCCTAAAAACCTGAAAACCGAGAAGATACCGATAATTCTTTAAGACCCGGACGTTTCCAAAGAATTCCTCTCTGAATTATCCCGCGAGCGCCGCGAAACCGCGCGAGAGAAATATTGGATTATTCAATAGGTAGAATAATTCCCGTACAATAGTCTGAAACGTTCACCTGAAAAGTCAGTTAGAGGAAGGCTTGGTCTTGGAAAGAGCGAAGGGAATTCCGACCGGTCAAACTGCCCCCTCCAACCGTTCAGGTAAACACCAACGGTGTAGATCTCGTTTCTCCCTCGCTCCAGTGATATTTCACCATTCGGTACTACAATCTGCCTTTATCTCGGTTATCTTCCTCACTCTTGCCGTTATATTCCTCCACCCGACTGGGGTTGCAACAACTATTAAACTGCCTCTTTAAGGGCATTCGGTGAATGTGTGCACACCGAATCGACCTCTGCACAGAATTTCTGTCTTTGAGCTGTCTCATCGGGTCAAACTGTACTCTCGTCCTCTTTTCTTTTTGTCCTTGACACATCGTCATGTCAACACACGATTCATTGATTTTTCCACGTTTTATCAGGCCAATTCATAGCTTTACAACAATATTTGAACGGTTTTCTTATCCACCTTTTTACTTGTCAGATATTTCGAGATAATTCCAAAAATTATAAGTCAGTCAAACGAATTTTTCCCCCCGAAAATTTAATTGCGACTTTATTTTATGATACAGAACATAAAAAAATTACGAAAAAAATCGGATATTTAAAGATATCGATTTTTTTTCCAGTTGCTGATTTGGTATGGAATTGCGCACTCGTCATTTTTTTAAATATGGGTATTCTCGCGGAATTAGTAAAATTACTTGACAAATGTTGATGTATCGGAGTGAAAATTGAAAAAATATATGAAATCTGCGGATATTACATATATTTCGACATGGAGGAAGTGCCATTAAGGTCTGTTCCAGTCGTAAATCCCGGGTAACATAGATGTCTTTGAGAAGCGGCGACATATTGTACTGGTGGCTAGAAAATGCAGAATTCCGAGTGTTTCGACTGTGTGTAGGACAAGGAGAATGAAATGGGTAGACGAAAAGTGGAGTGCACACTCGAAAACCCTCGGAGCACTATAAATGCACAGAGCGTTCTTTACTGGGCCCGTCTCCGTGAAAGGTATGAGAGAATTTTAGGAATGTACTGCCATTTCCTAGAGAGAAAGAGAGAGATGACATCCTCGAGGATAGTGTATATACTGTGGGAGGTGCCAGAAATCCCTCAGAAACATCACAAAAACCTGAACCAGGTAGGAACCGTAACGATTTTTTCATCCTGAATCTTCAAGCTCCTGAATTTCAAACTTTTCTCCCCACAAAATCACTGCTCAACTCAATTTTTCCACGGATTTTTAGAATTTTTAAAATCCCCACCTACCCACCCCAAAGATTAATCCAGCTAAATAATTTCTCTTGCCACATGAAAAAAAAAGTCGATTCGTTAAAAACGCGTATTTGATTTGAGCGAAATGAATTAATTGTTTTTTTTTTTTCAATTTTGGGGAGCAATGAATTGAGAACAAATGAAAGGCTTGATTTATCAATTGAGGGTTCAATTGAAAGCCGAAGAGAAGCCAGAGGATAAAAATCTATTTATATTTATTCAGCTCATCTGCTCAATCTAACGCGCGTGGCACACATAATCCTTTATTATGACGACGTGTCTCTTCTCAATTTGAGAGATCGATGGAAGTTAAATCGAGGCACTCAGTGTGATAATGAATCTGGGGTGAGCTTGGCCCCTGGCATGGAATTATGTACCAGTAGTGATCGCGCATAACAACTAGATCGGATTAATTTTCGAGTAACTCAAGTGCATGTTTAGCCCTTGCTCTCGATTTACACTTCAATGGCCTCATTTTACTCCCCTCCGGCTTCTTTTTCCACTTCATTATTCCCAATGACTGAGAAATCTATTTTATGCTCTTATCAATCGTCAACTCCTGCCGATTTCATTTTACGAATCAAATCGTGCCATTTCTCTCTCATTCCCCTGTATTGAGCAGGTGAAAAATTCTCTGAGACCAGGACAGTTGAATTTCGCCGAAAAAAAAATGATTGAAAATTATTAAATGATATTGATTGAATATCAAAAACAATAAATGAAACCTCCAGATCGACGAAATGTCGATTTTACTAAAAATTCGAATGATTTTCGTTTTAAGGAAATAATTGGAGATGAAAATGAGGAATGGACGGAAATTTCTTGTCGTTCGTTGTGAAAAAGGAATTGTGTCATGCCAACGACTGCCCCCAAATCTGCCATGATGGATTTGGCACACACACACACCTTTGTTCGCGATGGTGAACCACGTGGTTCGTTGTTGTCGGCGTCAAGGCAAACGAGTGGTATTTTAAAGGGCAACCGCGATATGAAACTCTCCAGCAATAAAGGAGGGAACACGTATTCTCCATGCGCAAGTGTTCTCTGAACCACAACTCCTCACTAACACAGGTAAGAACCGGTGACGTACTTCGCTATCTATTCTTGAAAAATAGTACAACTGCAATTACCGGTTTTTTTTTTTGTATTAGCGAGTCATTGCGAGACGACTGGCGTCTCGGGGGGCAAAAAATCAGTCAACGTGTGCCGACATTCACGTGCACTTGGAGTTTCCGGAATTGCGAAATTCGTTTTCAATAAGGAAAAGGTTCATAAATCATCGCTCTACTATCATAACATGTCTGTTACTGACATTGTTCTTTTTTCCTAAGTTGTTTTTCATACTTATCGATGCGGCAATGTTATCGCGATTTTTCTTTTTTCATTATCTCAGTGGGTAGAGGGCGAAACTCATCTGGTGAATGGTTTTGATAAGAGAGTGGGCAATGGGGTCGAGAGATTAACGAATCGAAAGTCCAAAAAATGTATCAGATAGCCTGTATCTAATATCGGACCCTGGAGCAGGTTCTGGAAATTGTTGCGAGTGTAGATAAACTCGAAATTATATTTACCGTCCAGCGCAGTGCCGTTGGTGAATTTATATTGAAATCTTGAAAAATTTATCCAAGATGTAAATGGTCTAATCTTAAAACTTTGAGAAGTTCATTTGAAATTCCGGAAAGTGGAAAATTTGAACTTGAAGTACTACATAATTTTTCACTACAAAGCTCAGAATTCGGTAATTTTTTCATTTAAGTGTAAAAATTTCTACGAAAGAATATAGATTACACGAATATGTCATTGAGTGTCTCGGACCGCGTGAATTTTACCGTCCGAAAGGGAAAAACTTGAAAAGTCCTCGTAACAACAAGAACCGAAACCCAGAATACCTCAAGCGAGCGTACGAAAAATCCCAGTAATCCCTCGGTTTAGAGTTTGCTCCCACTTTTTCCATCTCCGATTTCCTCCTCCAATTGCTCGATTTTATTTTTACCCCGGTTTTGTATATCCCCCACATCCGTGAAAACTCCCTGGGTTTCGCCTCGAAGCCAGTAGAAAACTTGCATCTAGAATCGCGTCGTGTACGAGAAAGATAAAATCGGCACAGATATTTTCCGAGTTTCCCCCCCATCGCCCCCCGATATTTCCCCACCCTCGCGATGCACCTCGCACTGCTAGACATTTTTTTTTAATTTCCCGTAACGCTTGTTGGAATTCACAATGTTGTGGATTTTAACTCGATTCAAGATCAAATCGTTCATAAGAATTTTCATTCGTTCAATTTCGCGAAAACGAATTTAGTTATGCGGAGAGCTGGCCATTTTTCGATTTGACACGAGAATATTTTCGCCCGTCAAATAAATATTCTTTGAGAATAGTAGTTTTCTCTCTCAGTGTATGTGCCCGGAAATTAGAATTTCATTGAATATTCAAGACATTACCTGGTTTTCACTATCAAAACGCAGATAAATCCCATGCAAATTTCTCTTTGTAAAAAATTCAAAGTTCCTTTGCTTCAAATTTAAACTCTAATTTTCCACCAGCCCTCTTCCTCATTTCAAAGCGATAATCTCTCGAAAGAAAAAAAAACTGAAATACCCAATAAAATAAAATTTTATTGAATACTCAAGACCCACAAGACTCTATTTAGTTGTTTAGTACGAAAAATAGATAAAAACATGCTGATAAATTCGCTATAAATTTCTCGTTGTTAAAAATTCAGTCAAGTAATTTAGAAAGAGGAGACAGAGGGTGGACCGAAGGTGTTAATCGGCAGAAATAAAAAATGTGGACTCACCTTTCCAAGATATTGAAATCCGTGATCCTCAGCTACCTGTTTAGCCACTTCAACACCACCATCGATATGAGCCGCCCACTGGCTGGAATAAGCCCTCACACAGCCCTGGATGGTAATCAGTAAAAGGGCCAGAGGCAAAATCCATTTTTCGGCAATCATCGCGCCACTCGATCGAATATCACTACCAATCACTTGTCCACTCACTTATATCCTCTCACGTCCACTCACTAAATATCACCCTATCAATCCTCAAAACCATGAAGTCGAAACCGTTCACTATTCCTCTAATAATATCAGTAATAAAAGAAATGCCAAAAGAGAGTGATAAAGACTTGTCTCAACGTCTCGTCACGATGAACATGGATAACACAGCACTCACTATAAAACAGATAATAAATTTCACTGGGAACCCCGAGTTTATTTGCCTACTCCTTCAATAAGCTGATAACCCAGTTGTGCCAATTATTACATCACTCGTCAAAAGGGAAATTCAAAGAATAATAATAAAATTTAACAAGTTGAATTGCTGCACTCGCACGTGGTTCAGGGGTATTGAGCGTGGTATACTCGAATTTACACAAGTGTCGATATAAAAGTTGACGTAACCACGAGCCCGACGTCGGGTGAACTGAATCGCGCGCGATACGTTTGAGCAGTTAAGTACTGAACTGAGTGTGCGTCACGCGGTGAATATCACCAATGGCGACGCCTCTTCCTTGCACACCGCTCCATCCACTCTAGATGTGTTTACTAATTAGATAAACCCAATGATAAACGGCAATCACTGCACTCCATTTGAATTTCATCTTGTTCCACTGCCCACGGGGAAATCGGCTCGATTGATTCAGTCAAATGTTGACAGAAATCCTCGACTCTATCGCATTTTCCCAAAAAAAATATAATTAATTATTGAATAATTGCCGAAAATTTTTTATCAAATCCTGAGCAAGTTTTTTTAGTAGTAAATCGTAATATATCCCGTTGTTTGTGAAAATATGACAGAATTTTGTCGAGCTAATTTTCACCAGGGCAGAATGATCTGTTGCTTACGGTACACCAGCTTTAACCAGTTTTTCTGTCCGAAAGGCATGGGTTTAGTTTTCCTCTCACTTTCTTGGCTTGCCCCGGAATTCAGGCCCATCAAGACAACTGATAAAATCCTGATTGACCTTTCGAGATGGTTTAGTCGGATAGGAGGGCAATCGGTTTAATCATCTTGCTAGGAGTTTCAACTGGAGTAAGAGATTTTTTGAGGTATCTGGATTTCTTTGTTCCTGTGGGTTGTGAGGGCCTGACGACTCCTGGACCTCTATATCGGGTCCAGTGAGGGCTTGAGGCTAAGGCGATGCTCAATCGAGGATAGCACCGGTAGCCGGAGATGGAGCAGGAAAGACCCACGGATTTCCTGGCTATTCAGGCATCTATGGAAGGCATTTGGCTTCCACCCGATTCACCCGTAACGAAACCAGTTTTTCCTCGGGGATCTTCTATTTTTTACCCTCTTTTGTCATTTTTTATTATTTTCTCTTTCACAACCATTTGGAATTCTTGGGAATTGCTTTCTCTCAATTCAGGGGGCTTGTTTGTATATCTATGATCATGGTATTATGACTGAGGTGTCGGGGAATATTGGAATATCATCGGCGTTACTCCGACGATTTTTTCCTCTCGTGCCATCCGCTGATTCTCTCCCGTACGTGACACTTCGACTGCGGGAATTTCCTTCATCGATTGAGTTGCCACGGTAGTTCCATACCATACAAACTGTCTCACGAGATATTATCCGGATTTTTACGACTTATTTTCGGTTTTACCTTGTCAATTTTTTTTCTATATAAGTCTCTCGTGACGATTTAGGCACGTCGACCTCGGGGCTCAATCACTATTTTTTTCGGTTTCTGGTTTTCTTTTTATTTTTGTTTTTTCTATTGTTCGGAGCTTATGATTTACAGTGAAGTCCTCATTCATTTCTGGCTCGAGCTGGAAATTTACGAATGCGTTAGTGAGAATTTACCAGGGGAATATTTTGGTTGTGAGTGCCAATTGTTGAAAATGCCGGGGTTATGCAGTCATTGAATTTTTGGTATTGGAAGTTCCTGAAAATTTTTCCTAATCAAAATTTAATTATATCCTTATTTGAGAAATTGCCAATTGCAGGTGCTTACATAGAATTTAATCTCAATGATTTATCCGTGCTAAATAAATATCCAATTAACAATACGAATGAATACTCATAATGAGTTACCCAAATTTAATTCTGTACCTGGTAATTTAATAAACGATATTGTCTGCATATAAATCTCAATTAAATGAATACAATGAAAGTTTACTGAGAATTTATTTCCTAGAAGTATCAAGCCTCACGCGAGATTTTAATCCCGGAGCAGCGATGGAGGTACTGAAATGACTTAATTTACTCTACAAATTCCATTTTCTGTAATACCTTCATTAGCATTTGATCCGTATTAAATACGCGAGGAATTATTGTCAATTGCGAGCAATAATCACGTATTTTCCACACAAGAAATGTACCTTTGCCAATAAAAGAAAAATTGTGAAATCCTCTTATCCTCTTAGAAATAATAAAATATATTTCATTATACGAAAAAATGCAGGGAAAATTCTGAATTAAAAATCATAAGAACAATTTTAAACTCCTCGATACAAAATCCTCGCCATATTATTTACCGAATAATTCGAAACTTCGGGGTAAATTTCTCATGAATTCGTGATCAATGAAATCAATTATTCACTAACGACAGTACAAGGGCACATGAGATACATCGTGGCTGCACTTTAGAGTTGAAATGCAATAGCTCGCATGAAGGTCAGTTACTGTTGCAATTAGATTATTCCATTGGTCATTCAATTAAGCAATCAGCATTAATTCACCGTCTCGCTATCCTTTCCATCGGCAAAACTAACTCTTTAATGTTGCAAATGAAAGTTTAATGTTGGCCCACGAGTCGGCAACTCAATTCGTTGGGTTTTCCTAAAATTAACCGTCTGATGGTATTTCTTCATGAGAAATTTTGAGAATAACGAGATGGAGAAGGCCTTCATGGTAAACTTGTTAACGGGAAGTTGCCGATGGGGTCAGGGACTCCCGCAAGTTCATGCGCACTCATCTATATCTTTTGAATTTACGTTGCACTTCTGCACCACAGCTCCACGCAGACCTTCATTAACATTTGATTAAGCAAATGCATTTTACCGAGTGAATTGAATGGCGAGCTGGAAGATTTCAGAAGATTAACAGTCTCTCTTCCTCGTATCCAAGCCCTCATATCAGCCCACATGTGATACAGTTTCCCAGAATTTCTGTTATCACAGAGGAAAGGGAATTCCATATTTTTCTACTGATGATCGTAATTTCCACTGATAACCGAAAAAAAAAATTGACTATATTTTCAATGACTCCATTGTTATTATCTGACATTGCCAGGAGACGATAGTTTCAATTCCACTGAATCAACCCCTCCAATAAAATCCGTTAATTCCCTCGATGACTGGACAATCCACCCGACTACCTCAACAACTGAACATCAATATTCTCTGTTGCATAAAAAGTCACCTCCATTTTTCGATAATTGTCACCAAAAATCCGAGCTCAAACCGAAATTTTTACCAGTGGACACCAGCTGTCATACATTCATCGAAATTTAATCAAGAGCAGTACATGACAATCCATGCTTGCGCCATAAATTGGATTTGTCATGCAATTGTCCGTGAAAATTATTTCTCTCCCTTAGGATGTATCAATAACATCCATTTAATGATTTCCAGTTACATCAGAGAAAATAATTGTATGTCGAATTAATTTTCACATATTTCAACTATCATATCGAATTTTCACGTTTCGGGACACTTGATCCTTTTGCTTAATCCCCCCAAAAAAATTCAATTAATTACATGAATATATCCATCACCCGATCAAAATTTTCACCGGAATTCCCTTCATTCCTCTAATTAAAAATTATGCCAAAACGGTTGGATAAATGCCCACATTATTGAGCGAATGAGTCTGTCACGAAATAATTTACAAGTGAAACGCAGCTTCATTATCCCAATAATCGGATATATTTCGCGAAATTCCACCGGACCTATTCGAGCTACCAAATTTTTTGTAGAAACCTTTTCCCTAGTTCTGACTCCCCTCCACAATATGTTCCCAAACAAAAATCCCGCTATCTCCATTAGATTCCGAGATATTCCTCGAAAATCCACCGTTTTACCTTTGGATATTGAATTCCAAGATAGGCATTGCCACTCCCGAACAATTGCCGGATAAAAACCGCTGCCAGTGTGTAAACATCATGGCAATACACCTGATACTGCAAACAATAAACTTCTCGGGGCATAAATTCAAACTAGAAGGACCCGTCAAGGCTACCCAAGGGGATAAAAGCCGAAGAGATGAAGAAAACTTTGAGCTTATGAAACGTGAAAACTGGAGCATCCGGTAATCGTGGGAAATGGCCACGTAGAACAAAGAAATAAATAAATATCCACATGAGCGAGGAATTTCCGGCACCGGAAAATGAAATAAGAAAATTCAATTGCTCCCAGAAAAAAGGCGTCTCAAGACGCGCGGACTCGGCGTTTCTCGTGTAGATATTTGCCCTTCCGAGTCGGCGCAAACAATTGAATGTGCACGTGGGTCTTACACAATTCAAATTGCCCCGCAGCCCCTCCCGCCCCTCATCTCACCTTACAAAAATCTCCACGACTCCCCGACATTTTCCCTCGACAGCCTCGAAGCCGCAATTTTTCCGAATCGTTGTAAGAGCAAGGGAGCCATTAACAGCGCTCCGAAAACTGCATGAAAACCCGCATATAACCAAAAAATAATCAACACAACACACACAATAAACAAGTGCACGCGTAACAAACAACCCGCGACGCGTTTATTGACAATCTCGGTTTGAAAAAAACGCTCTGTGAAAGCACACGTCAAATAAATTGAAGCTCCGGCATTTTCAACGTATTCACCTCGTAATTACCACAAAATCATACCATAAACACCGGGAAACGTGTGACGTATACATGAGTGCCATCCTGTCTTGATTTTCACATCTCACAATGGCATAGCTGTTCCCGCGTGCCTGACAATCCTCGAAGAAATCCCCGAAACGCCAAACACCACCGGCGCCAAATGCCCGACAACCGCTCAACAACCGCTCGACAACTTATCGCAACGCCTTTTCATCCTCTTCTCTGGTTTCGTTATTTTTTTTTTCTCCACCGCGTGAGACAACCGGGTATCCCATGGATTATTATCCACCGAGAGTCTATTTCATTATTCTGATAAATGGGGGGGAAAAAAAAAAATTACCGAGCACGAGGTCACCCCCACGGCGGTACACGTATGACTGACGGTGCGAACCGCCCCAACGGAGGCTTTCGCCTCTAGCATCTGTCTCTCTCTGTCTCTATATCTCTCTCACTCCCTTTCACTGCTTTCCCCTTTCATCGTGCACTCATCCCCTCTCCCATGTTTTCCTGAAGGGGGAACAACGATATTTTACCCCCTCCCTCAGAGGACTGGTCCATGTATATCCCCTCACCCCTGCCGCACCCACGCAAAATCTCTCGGCAAGAGTCAGTCGTTGCTACGATCGTCGCCAGGCGAATTCCCGACCCTCTCCAACGGATATTCCCAGTGCATCAGACAAGGATAAATTCACATCAGCATTCAACGAAAATAGTGGGGAGAGAGGTTCAAGGGACTTCTAGGGTAATTCCGGCTCTCCTTTTATCTCTGCGCCTACGATCTTTTGTCCTTCACCCGGGGGCTTCTCTTTTTATTTCTTTATTCCCGAAGACCTGAGGAAAAACCGTATCACGGACATCCAACGCCATCTACCTCTGTTCGTTGCTCTCAAGCTAGTGCAGAATTGCGGAGGATGAGAGGGAAACTAATGCGAGTGAAACGCACGATTTTTCACGCCGGAATGGACAGAGAATGGAGGTCTATTTATATAAGAGTCTTTGGTGAGGGTTTTGGTTGTTTGGGAGGAGTGGGAGACAATTATTACCGGAAATGATTTTCTTCGTTTCGCAATATGTCCTTAAATTTCCCATTATTTAAAAATTCACAGTCATTATTCGAGTAAGTACTGATTGTTTATGAAATTCTTACTTTTTTAAACTGTCCCATCGTGACCTGAAATTGCAGGTGTTTCGTATTTTCTGCACAATTTTCAGGGGCTATCCATTGGGGATTCTCTATTGAAAATTAAAAAATCAGAGATTTGTATTTCAAGAGCCTCTCATTGGTTAATTTCCCAGCGTGGTTTCATCCCGGTTGAAAAGTTTGTTAGGTATCTCTCGTTTCAATCTGCGCTCTATCTACTCTGGTTATTCTACATGGCTTCCATCGAATACGAGGAAAAATGTAAAAGATGTTGAAAAACTCAAGGGCTTTCCATCAATTTCGAGTCTATCTCTCATAAATTCTATGTTCCAGAGTATTCCTCGTGCTATCAGATTACATCAAATTTGAAGGATCAATTACGATTGGAATCTCTCTAATTTCGGGAATTGATTCACCTGGTCCTCCCATTTTCCCAGAGTTTCCTCCAACAATAAAATAATTAATCCATTATTTGTGGATTGTTTCCGAAAAAAATCTGAAATTCTTTCAATTTCCCTGAAATTAAACTAGGTGATCAATCGCAAAAACCAGAATACATATTAATAATGCCCCCAAATTAATATTGAATGAATAATCATTAGAGATTAGTTGGAAATTTTTTAGGAGAATTCAATATTCTCTCGGGTGTCGTCTGTTTTCTTGTAGTAAGTGGAACCAGAGAATTATGTATTTATTTTTTAATAAGGAAACGGCTTATTCAAGACATGTCGTATACATGACCTGTGAAAGCCGGCAAGCTTTGTCAAACGTTAAGATTGCATGTGAGTCCACAGAGTAGCAAACTACCACCTGTGATGAAGCTAAAATCTTTATAAATTTTTAATGCCAGCGGGGATTACTCTATTTTTTATCCGAAGGGGAACCACAGCCTACGCCAAGCTGAATAGATCTCAACATTTATAGATAATCTACAATAATCATCTTTAATAAACCATTACTCCATAATACACGTGACGAGAGTAAATTATCCACTCAATGACTAATTAAAAAATTTCAATTATAAAATTTTTTATGGAAAAGTTTTTTTTTCTATTGATATTTTTTTCTTTCTCACAGCGTCTGGAAACAATTGAATTCTGTTAATTATCCAGTAATTGTAAGTCTTGAGCATTAACAATTTGAATTACATCCACTAAGTATGCATAACAAGCAACGTATTTCGCAATGGATGGGGCGGAATAATTTCTCAACCTCTGAAGCCTCCCGCAATTTACAAGTGCAGGTGGCAATACGAATATCTCTCGATTTTATGGGCAACGAACAGGCAACAAACCGTGCATTCTCGTTGCCACAAAGTTTCCCCCTTTTTAGCTCCAGTATCACTTCACCCCATCCCCCATTTGCCCTTTTTTTTTCTCTCGTTGCACTCCTTGCCTCTATAGATAGCTACCTAAGGGCTGAAGTTTCGTATTTACGATTGAGGTTACAAGTTCCTCTGTACCCTTTCATTCCGAGGTAGGATTGCAAATTGGTGATTTATTCAATTCGCTTGGGCATCGATGAGAGCTGACTTCAAAGGAAAATAAATTGACCTCTTGCTCCAGATATTCTGATTTTTATTCTATCGATCCTTCTTCTAATTTGTCCAATATTTATTAACAATATTTATTTATTTCCCTCCAGTGTAAAGGGAGTGAAGAAGGGAGAACTTGACGTCTGGATGCTATTTTTATTTCTTCGATTTGACATAAGAAATATCGAAGAGAAAAATGCGACTTATGAGTGCTCAGATGATAAGAGGTGGAAGCAATGGAGGACACGGTAGACAGATGGAAAATGGTAGATAGAATCTCAAACTGGACTTGGTGTGTTGCCAAAATGTCTATGTACTTGTAGGGCGAGAGACGGTTAAAAGTATTTACCGTAGCCGTATTTCGTGTTGACCCTCTTCACTCGGAAGAGTAGCTGAGGAAAGATGGGAAACAGCGTGTGACTGTGAGCCCGTGGCCTCTTCTTTCTCATTCTCATTTCTTCTTTGGTTCCTCTTGTCCTTTCCAAAATTGCTTTTCCCTCAGATAAATGACAACTGTAGAGAGTAGGTCTCGACAAAGCCGAAAACCCTCAAATTTTCATCGAAAAGTGCACAACTCCAGTCTGAAAGCAGAATTCGTTGTTTATCCAAGAGAAAAATCTAGAAATAGATTTGGAGTATTGGAAAACAATTTCCCATATAGAAATAATTTGACAGGTGGTGACATGACGGAATATTTTCACATTGAAGTGAATATTCGAGGAAAAGATCAGATCAATTTGGTCACCACACCCTCGGTTTTTATCAGAGGCTTTTTCCACTTGTTATCGTGAAATTTGGGGGCTGTTCACGGTGAATTGAAGACGTGAGGTTGCCGTCGGGGTGGGATCGATACTGGCGTCCTTGGGCGAACACCAACACCGAAAGTGGGATCGGATGACGCCGGTCCAGGGTGAGGCTACAATAATTGGCTCGAGGTTGAATATTGTTGGTCATTGTTGGAGAACACCAGTTTTTAAAAAATTGGACTTTGCAGGATCCGTCCGTATTCCAATTTTTCATCGATCTGCAACTTTCAGGGGGTGAAGGTCATGACTTTCCACACGTGTTCCGCATTTCGCACTTCTCCAATCATCAACCAATCGAACTAATCCGCCCCAATTTCATGGAAACCCGTAAAACATGAGTAAATATATCCTCGGAGCTTAGATTAATTGATAATACCGAAGGATTCTTAAAAATTCAAATAATTCAAGGAATTCTAATTCGTGTGAAAAAGTCCGGAATTTTGCACCTTAAAATATTTCTGAAAATTCATGATAATTGTCTTGTTAAGATAATTTCAACGACAGTTGGGTGAAATGAAGAATATTCAAGCAGTACCTTTAATTCAGCGAATGGAAATCCCCAGGATCCATCTCCAACCGTTGAGAGGCTCCACAGCAGTGACAATAGCATTGGAACGCAGAAAATTCGAAATCCCGATTCCTCCCGACTGACTGCTCACTTGGAATTCGTGAAATTGAAGCTAAGGTCGCGAATTTATGGTATTTGGATCATCGCGCACTAGTCGTGGATGGTGGATGGAAATGTTCAATATTGGATCCTCCATCCCCACGACCTATACACAATTTGCCTGTGGCTTTATTACGAGAGACAGGGTATATCAAATAACCAATAGCTTTTGACGTTAACGAAGGGGTGATGGGATTCAGTCTGTTTCCATGTTTTGTGGTGCCAACATCAAATGTACGTTGATTAAACAGAGACTCCGCTCATGGGTGATAATTATTCCGAATATTCTCCAGGTGATCTGAAAATTTATGAAATTATTCTCCCCCCTGTCTCAATGATTACATTGAGACAATAAATCATGATTTTCCCCATATTATCTTTCCTATTTTGTCTCTCAGTTTTTCTTTTCATTTCCGTATTTTTCCCATTTCCGGATGTTTCATCATTGACGAGTCAAATGCCCCCGAAATCAATTGATTCCCTGAAAATAAATCGTTGGCTTGTAAAAATAATGAAATCCTGAACTCTTTGCTCAGCGTTAATGAACTGGTGAAAATCAGCAAATGACGAATCGAGCGAAATAGTCGGGACTAATTAATCCGTACCTCTGGAAATGCTATTGAGTCATTTGGAAATGCATTGCCTCCAACAGAACACCTGTTAGTAAACAAATACAATTCACAATGATGAGATACACTGTTTCTGGATACATAACACTGGGTATCGCTTCTCTCTGTGTTAGAATTTCGAGATTCTGGTTGGAGCCTCTTTGAGGGCAGAAGCTCAGATATCTGATGGAACACATATAACTCCCTGGGGGATATGAATGTTATATGTGTGCTTGAGATTGACGCCAACCGAGAATCTCATTTTGCATTAATGAACTCAGCCCTCATCTCAATACGCGTTGGGAGGGGAATAAAAATATAGTACGAGATGTGTCGAACAAACGCCAGTGGAAACTCACATTCGTCTGATGGCTTTTCAGGAGTATCAGTAATATCATTGCATGCATCAATATCCCCATAGAGCACTGGATATTTGTGGAAAATTGGGTGGAAAATACCAACTTTCCACTCCGGAAATTAATAAAATTCTGGAGCACCGATGGAACATTGCACTCGGCACATTTTTATTCCATTATTATTATTTGGATGAAACAATTAAATTAATTTTCCTTTGATGTCAGAAGTGTTTTCTTTGTT